CAGAACTCATAAATAATTACATCGGTTACACAACCACATGTTTATCCAGACATCTTACATTACACCTATCTGATCACAGCTCCATTACAACCCATTTAAACTCACACACACAAATTTACCAGACTCCATTAGAAGCATACTAGTAGAAAACACAAATATATTAACTGCATCCACCTGCAAAAAAAGACTAAAAATAATGGAAGCTTTAATAATAAAAAAGAAAAAGCCAACTCTTAACAATATTAACTACGAACAAAGCCACAATGTGCTAACTGTATTCGGAAATTAAAAACATCCCTACCACACACTAAGACATACACATAATGCACACACTCAATTAAGCTGAAAAATTGAATCATCCTTGATAATGGTTAAAGGTATAGCCAAAAGCACTCGGAAAAATAAAACATTAGGACAGTTCTTACACACGCTTTGTCCAGAAAAGAAAGCTCTTGTTTGAACACAAGAAAAATTAAATAAAAAGCTCAACCGTAGTACCTTGTCTGTTGTTTTTAATGAAACATGTGTGTGTATATATATATATATATATATATATATATATATATATATATATTTTTTTTTTACCATCTGTTTCATTTTTGGATGATTTTATAATATTTTAAACCTAGTGCTTGATTAAATTTGAAATTTCTGATTTTTAATTTTATTGTAAATTAAAGGTTAATTATTTCATATTGATTTTTGGTTTGATCTAGCATTAACTTTAATCAACTAACAGTTTGTATTTAGAATATACCATCATGTTTTTTGAATTTTCATATACTTTTATTCTGCTTGGTCATCATAGGTTACGTATTGAGGGGTGGTTTATTTAGTTTTGAATTGTCAAAAAAACTATCTTGCAATCAACATCACTTGGTAATACACCAAAAGTGTTGAAACAAAATAGGTTTTTTGTAGTGATGTTATAACATATTTATGTTATAATTTTGAATAAATATTATTTGCTCTACTCTGTATTGAACACTCTTTTAAGAATAGTGTTTTTGGTTATTGGAATTTTATTCCATCTACATCAATCCTGTGTGTGTGTGTGTGTATCTCTTGCCTCATAGAATTGCTACTTATTTTTCTTATTTGTAACTTTTGGCAGCAGTAGCCTCTTCAGGCAATACTGCAAAAATCTGACAACTTTACTGTTTCAGAAAAAGGTTGAAATGTTTTAAGTCTCCAAGTTCAAATTGCTGTTAAAAGTTAACCACAAATTTAAACCAGCACCACAAATTGAGTTTCTAGAAAATTGAGAAAAAATTAATCTTTATTTTAATTTTACGTTTCACTACTTTAACAGAATAGATATCAGAATTCAGTGTATTGGGTGGATGCGAAAAAGCCCAATTATTTTTTAATTTCTGTAAAAACAATGAAGTGGAAAAAAGAAAAAATATTTTTATTTTACAAACTAAACATATTACAATATAAACATGCCAAATCTGCATTCTGAGATTAATTGTAAAAGCTTTCAACTGTTTGTTATGGTTAATTTGTAAAATTTTATCAAGCTAAAAATGAGTAGTACCTGTAGTATACAAATGGAAAGCAAAATTACTAATCATAGAATAGAATTCCAAATAAAAGAGAATGTAACTATGTAAGTCCTTATTTTAAAAAGAAAAATGTGGTCAAGGACATTCCTTACAAGATCATACAGCTTCCATTGCTAACTTTTAAAAAGCTTTACTTTATGGCTATATCTTAATGAATTACAATGAGAATTGAAAGATGAAAATGTTAATATGAATATATTAAATATCTACTGCATAATTTTCCAACCAAATTCATTACTAACAAAGATCAAATAGAAAAATATAGTTTTATTCTCAGGAGTGTCAGTAAGTTTTAAAAAGGTCTCATAATAAAATATTTCTTAAGTATTTGTTTTTAAAGCATCTTGTATCTCTCTGGATGATATTTTTTTAAAAGAATCCATGAAGTATGACCTTAAAATAGCTGGATAATATAATTATCAAGACATCATTGATAACTGATAGATGTACAGTTTAAATGAACAAGCTCTTTGAATAAATTCTTTTATAAACTATTTAAAGACATTTTTAACAGGACATTTTTTGTAATTTATTTTTGTAAATTTCTGACTAGTTTTTCTACCAATGATAAAAAAGAAGAAAAAATACAAAACTTCCTATCAACATTCAAACTATATGTGGCACTGATTGGAAAAATGTATTCTCTATTAATAAAGTAACATTATTATATGCTTACATAAGTACAATTTTGGGGCTACAACTTTATTTTAATCAATATAGTCATATAATTAAGGTGTTTAAGTAGCTTGGAATGGGAAATTCATTGTGGAGAAGAAAAAAAAAAAGACAAGGTTTTCAGTAATGCCAAAAAAGTTTGTGAGGTTGGGTAAAAGAGGTAAGGTTCTAGAAATTGGGTCAATAAGAGAAGTTTAATTAAATCTTTAGCCACATGCACAGCTGAATATAAAAACATGATATGCCCCCACACACACACCAAAGATCTGTTCACTCATGTGGCATCTGCTGTTGTCAAATATACTGTATTTGACAATAGAAGGCATATAAGACTCCTCTGCTACAAAATGGCTTTAAAATATTTCTTTAATCCCACATGCAAAGTTGAGATATCTAATAAATTAACATTTGTCCAGACACCTAACATAATTCTATAATACTGTACAAATTTGTTTTTGATGAATTTCATATATGTCACTTAATACAGTAATGTCAAGTAAAAATCCTACAAATTTGGATCCTGTTAAGGATTGAAGACTTAATCAACCTAAGGTCACCATTTTAATTTATAATTTTCTGAAGCCAGATCTGCAAGTGTGACTTGTTTCTTTCAAAATTTATTTTGAATCCCAATAGCTGTTTGCTTATATATATATATATATATATATATATATATATATATATATATTAGCTGTATACTCAGAGTTGTAGTAAAGAAAATTGTATTTATGTTTTAAAATAAAAATTCAAAAAAGAAAAATGCATAAAATATACATGAATGAAAATAGGAAGTTGAAAAAAAAAAAATACCACCATCTTTTGTTATTGTTAACCAATTCCTGAAAGGGCAAAGTTCCCACAATCCCCCAACAATATGCTTTGGTTCACATTTGAGACTAGGCCTCTCAAAATATCTAAAGTCAGCATTTCTTTAACTCAATAATGAACCTCATTCCTGCCCTCAAAAATGATATAAAACCAATTTTTTTTTTAAATACATTTCTGGTTAGGAGAAAATGCACTTCACTTTGTTTTAAAGAAATGCATAAGAGAACTAGTAAATGTGTCCAAATGCTAATTGTGCATGGGGGTGGGAATTGTGCATGGGTGAATGACAAGTAGAACATGAAGTATTGATGAAGTAGAAAGAGACTCAGAAGATCATTGCCTAAGTGACTAATGATAAATCACAATGTAAGAGGAAAAAAAAAGACCTAACTCTTACTAAATATCTATGTAAAAGTATGTAACTACCAATCTTTAAAAAAAAAAAAAAATTCAAAAGCAACTCTGTTTCCAAGTCATTTTTTTCTTTACCCTACAAAAATTAACGTCATGTTCACCTAATTGACAGTGTTAATTTGTTAATGGCCAGTTAGAAGCTGTAATTCTTCATTTGACATTAGCAAATATGAACGCACATTTAAAAAATTTCCTGGCAGAAAATACAAGAATTAAAATTTAAAAATAGTTTCAATATTTAAAATCTCACAAAGAAAGCATTTTGAAATTGTGTATACATACACATTAAGCATCTATTTACACTTATTAAAATACATTTTATGAACATTAGTGCTTTGACACATTGACATCTACATGGGTCATATAGCAGCAAATATCATTGTATTGACTTATCTCTAAAGAGAAGACTGCTTTTGTAAACTCATGTTTACATAAGACATAGGAGAGATATATACATCTGTGTCCCAATAAATACATATTCTTTGAATTTTAAAACTGTACCAAAATGAAGTAATAAACATTTTAATTAATATCTGTTTGGGTAGGCTTTTGATAATATCAGATATTAATTAATGTGCCTTAAGATTTTCAAAAGGATTGCAAAGAGAATTCCCAAGCAAGTATCCAAAAGTCGGAAAAAAATCAGATTTAGAGAAAATTGTGTGAAGATAAAGGATTCTTTTGTAATACATTAAATTTTGATATAATTAATTCTGATCAAAACTTGCTAATAGAATTATTGTTAAGTTTAAACAGGGAATATTTATAGTACAAGGAGCAGACATATAGAGAATAAAGTCTGATTTGTCTTTTATATTTAATACCTAAATTATACATTTTTTCTCTTACATTTTGCTGCTGGAACATGAGATAGAAGTAACAAAATAGTTGATATTCAAGTAAATGCCATGGTATAAAACCAATTAAGAAGGTAAGATGATAGCTTCTTAAAGAAAACAATCATGTTTGCTTGGATTTACAAACTGCATCTGCAATACAGAGTCTGCTAATCATTAAAAAACTGTTTTGTAAAATTAACAGACAAGGCAGGCAGGATTTTTGCCATGTACAAATTTTAGATTTTACAAGCTGAAATTTTTTTCTCAAACCAATTATGAACAAAAAAAAGACTACATGGTTATATGTCATCAATGGTAAATAATTTTGTAAGTTGGCTTAAACAAAATCTAATCAATAAAGTAAAATAAAAAATATATTGGGTTAGTGCTGTAGAAGTAAATCTGTACTAATGTTGTTCCTATCACCATTAATAGAAATTTGTTTAGATTGATTTAATCAAAAGCAGAAAAAGCAGCTGAACTACAAGATTAATCTAAAAGGCCCATTAATTTTTATTAGTTTAAGCATAATAAAGATTACTTTATACTTTCTTTAGATGAGAGCAGAAGGCTCTTTTTTGGTCAATCCCCATTAAAGTAGAAAAAAAGTTTGAAGAGCCTGGCATTATAGTATTATTGGCATTATTACTATTGCGTAAGGAGAATGTTGTCTTACCTATAGTCTATTACATCATCTATATTTTTCTTGCCATGTGCTCGGTACCAAAGATCCTTTACTTTATCTATTGCTTCACTTGCAACTGACTTCTTGCCTCTATCCCATTCATCAATATCATCTAACCTGCCAATTTGGGATGATGAAGTTGACCCCTGATTAGGACGAACATCCTCGTCATAGCGATCACCTGGAAAGAAATAAAGACAGAAGTTTAAAACATCCAATTGAAAAAATTAATTACCAGATGAACTGTGGATGCATGGAAAATAAATTCCATCACCAGGTGGTAAGAGTATAAAAAAACGGTTATAGTTTAAATGGAATAAGCAATTTACTTGGATTTAACAATATCTTTTTGGTTAGAAGATGAGAAAAGCTTGAATGATCATCTTAAAATAATAGATTTTTACCTCTAAGGTAATACCAAATTAAATTTTAATAATATATTGGTAGATTTTTTTTATCTTCTGAACTAATCTTTAATATTTAAAAAAAAAAAAAAAAAAAAAAAAAAAAGACAAAATTGGTGACACTGTTTTCCAATCATTAGGTATTTTATTTTTTAATATTCATACATGTTCTCATCTTTTCTAAAATTAAATGATCTATAAAATTATTCTGCATGTTTTTTGACTAAACAATTATACACTTTGTTAAGGAGGAAAGTACATCATTGCAAACTTGTATAATTAAAATGGATGCACATGAACAGACTTAGAATCTAGCTTTAGCCTAGAGACCATATTGTATGAAGATATTTGATTCAATTTCCATTTAAAATATTTTTGAAGATCTGCTTTTATATTTAAAACCAGACACAAACTACATTCATAATCATAGTTACATATAAAATATTCTATAAGTGTAATATATATATATTAAAAAAAAGGAAAAAACTTTTGAGTTGTGGTTTTACTGCTTCAGTATGAAAGCTTAGCATCACTTATCACTTTGATACATGTGAAAGGCTTAACTTTGACAAAGTCCAATTCCATTATTAAATGACAGCATTCTAAGTTACCTTTCAGTTGTAATTATTTTAGGATCATTATAAAAAAGAAAAGCATAAAAGGAGAAGGCATTAGAAGAAAGAGTATTAGAGGAATCACAAGAAAATAAAGGACGCCAATATTTTGAAATACAGTATAACAAATGAGTTTCTGCATTAAAATCCCGATGTGAGTACCCCCATACACACACACACATTAACTTCCACAAGACAGAGACATGAGGTAAACTTGACCAATGAAAAACACAGAACTAAAAGTATTGGAACTTTCTCAGGCATAATTCATTCCAAAAATATTTCTGATGAAGCTTAAATAAAGTGAAACATGTTAAATTTATAAACATTTCCTATTTCTTCCTTATCCTATCATACATATATAGATGTGAGCATGTGTGTGTATCTGCAGCATATGATGGCTAAATGACAACTGATGAGGTTGTTACAGCATAGGTTAAATTGAGTACAGAATCAGTTAAACAATATAACCAAAGGACAAATTATAATCAGAGAAAGAAAACAAAAAAAATGGAGTCAAGATGATACTAGTTCACAGAATGGTAAACATAATAAACAATCCATATGGCATTTGAGATCAAGTAACAATTGTTTTTTTAACCAAATGAGGTAAGACTGCCATTCTTGCAACTGGTATGAAGTTACATTTCAATGCTCAAGAGAATCCTGAAGATTATCATGTTTCCATGTTTGAAATTCAACTTGCTAATCTTTATAAAATATTGATTATTTTCTACAATATCTTAGTTCTGTAGATAACTGGAAAAGTTATTTTCTTTCTTTAATCACTGCATACACTTACTTAAAAAAAAAAAAAAAAAATTTACGCCCTTGTGCTATTTTTCATTGTTGCTAGTAACATGCACATTGCTTTTTCTTATTTATACATTGGTATTTTTCTCAACTTTGTACAAGTACTGTAAAGGATTATAAGATATTCAAAGTATTGTTTTTTATTTTAATTATACATTATTCTTATATTTTCCTTGTTTATTATATTATAATATTTATGTTATTTATTTACCGTATTTAATATACGTATTTTATAGGGTTTTTTGTACATGTTTGTCTATCTTTAGTCGTGGTATACAACAATTTTTCTTATTTTTTCTTTTCTTTTTTATTTTGAAACAATTGTCTTGCAAGTGAAATTTCTTGCTAAGAATTATATATATTAATAACATTTAATGTATTCTATATGTTAGACTAATTATTTAATGGCATGAATAAATCTAGTTATATCAAAGTGTAACATTTATTTATCTTCTGTTATTACAAAAGTGGTTGTAATTTTTGGAATGAGAGGAAAGCATTTTTGTAATGTTTATTTTGTTTATCTTTGACTAATGGCTCATTATCGCCAATTTTTTTTATCTATTATTAGTTATATTCAAAGATTCTTTTACAACATTTAGTATGAATTTTAATTCTTTACATTTTCTTATTTATTAATTGCAAAGTAACATAATTTCAATTTTGTTGAAAAGCATTCAGTTATAACATTATTTTGTTTGATTTACTAGTCAATTTGTTTTATCATTTATCATTCAACTATTTTAAAAACAACAGCAACAATAATAGTAATAATTTCTCATATTTGATAATTTTATACATTTTCATTATTTTAAAAGTATAGCAATATATTGGCACATTTGATGGACTGTTTACTCCGACATCCAGTATAAAATATATAAATGTTTTATGTGTGTAGGGGCAGTGGTAGAAGCAGTACCTTTGTAGCTTGGCTTAAGGTGGATGGACAAAACTGGTCTTCACTCATCCCCATATATATATATATATATATATATATATATATAAAATGTCCCGGGTAAGACAAACTACATCTGGTAGCAAGACCTCTGATCAGGAAGTTTTGAGGAGCATGGAACCACCTCTTAATTGCTGTTGTTCCCAGGTTCACCCTGACCCAAGGTGGTAGTACCTGATAGGGTCCCAGCTATGGGCAAATAGTTAATCCCCACACTAGGGTCCTAGTGGTCCTGGGAATGACAAACTACATCCGGCATTGAGTAGGCGGAGCTCGACAACCTGGGAAGGCAGTTCATCTAGGGGAAGGAAAACCCTTATTTCAAACCTCCGCTGCCTTGTGGCTATATCCAGCCATAGAAAAGGCTTCAGGAGTAAACCTCAAGGAAAAATTTGGAGACAGAGTCTCTAAGGCAGTTCTCTATTGTACCCAACCCATTCTGGCAGCTCCTGCGATGGTACTAGTCCCAAACTGTAGTGACCTTGTTGTTACTTTGGCCTCACTAGTGATGTGGAGAGCGGGGACGTGCTACATGGGCAACAGCCTGTCCTCCATATCATATGGCCCACACTGCACCAAAACACCCTGCACAACACCTGGAGAGGAAACTCCAACTTCACTTTTGGCAATGACACAACATGGAGAACAGCAGTTACCGGTTATAAGTTACCACTCAATTGGTGTAGAGTGAACTGCCAGGGGTCGTTCTCGTCGGTGGGAGAGATTTCCAGATCTCATTGGACAGCAACCACATGCCTCAAGCTGGGCAGCCCCCAGCCAATACAGTATTGTCCTGCCATGGTCTGCCTCCTTCATTGAGTGCATGGAGATTAGGAGACATCCAACAAGCAGACTGCAACCTTCACACCATGCAATAACAAGAATTTACAAAAGAAATCAGCTCTAAAACTGGGCTGTTGGAATGTTCTGACTAGTGTCTCTGAAGATCCCCAGAACATCAGCAACTCCAGAAAAACTGCCATCATAAATGACGATCTCAAAAGGCTTCATGTGGACATTGCCAATCTACAGGAAACACATCTGGCTGACTCTGGATCGTTGAAGGAGAAGGACTATACAGTCTTCTGGCAGAGGAAGAGCTCCGACAAACCATGCCAACACAGAGTGGGCTTTGCAGTGAGGAACAACCTGCTGAATAAGCAATGGCTCCAAGGGACTCCTTACTCTCTACCTCAACACCACCACAGGCCCTGTCACCCTCATCAACGTGTGTGCCCTGACACATTCTGCCACATCAGACACCAAGGACGAGTTTTATGACAAGCTGGCAACCACCATCAGCAGTATCTCCAGAAAGGAACAACTTGTTATGCTAGGTGACTTCAATGACAGTGGGTGCTGATCATGACTTTTGGCCTTCATGCCTTGGACATTTTGGCATCGGCAAGATGAACGACAATGGTCGGAGACTGCTTGAGCTATGCACTTACCACAACTTGTGCATAGCCAACTCCTTCAGGACCAAGCTCCAGCACAAGGTCTCCTGGAGACATATACGCTCAAAGCACTGATACCAGATACTGGTCAGATGAGCCGCCATTAAGAACGTTCTTCATACATGTTCTTACCACAGCATGGACTGTGATACAGACCACTCCTTGGTGTGCTGCAAGATCAAGCTCCAGCTCAAGAGGTTCCATCGTGGCAAGAAGCAGGGGAATCCTCACATTGATATCAGCAAGATGAGCCAGCCAGACCTTGTGCAACAGTTCGTCAAGAGGTGAGAGAACGAGTGGGCAACCTCGCAGACTAGAGAGACTGCCACAAAGAAGTAGGTGACCTTGCAGGACACCATGCACTGCTTTACCTTGGTCACTTCTGGGAGAAAGATCTCAAAGTCATATGAGTAGTTTGAGGCAAAATCCACTGAGATGGCTTCTGTCATTGTGGCCAAGCGTGCCACTCTTGCAGAATACAAGTGGTCACCCAGCAAGAGAAACCTGCAGATCCTCCAAGCTGCCAGGAGCAAAGCTCATTAAGCTGCCAGACACTGTGACAATGAGTACTGGACAGAGCTTAGCGAAACCATTCAGATAGCAGCAATTACAAGGAACACAGAGGGATGTAAGATGGCATCAAGACGGCAACGGGACCCGTGCAGAATCCACCACTGGAGAAGTCATTGTTTACAAGGGGCAACAGATGGAGAGATGGGTGGAACACTATTCTGACCTCTACTCCAGGCAGAATGTTTGGACAACCACAGCCCTTGATGCCATTGAGTGCCTGCCAGTTATGGAGGACCTAGATACCGAACCGACCATAGAGGAGCAAAAGCCATTGCCAGTTTGGCTGCAGGGAAGGCCACTAGCAGTGATTTACCTGCATACAAGATCAGATGGCAGATTGCTCCTGGCTCTGAGATTGAACAAAGTACACGAAGCACTTGTCAGAGACATGTTTTTGCCAATAATGCAGCGGAAGTGACTCACAACCTGTATGAACTTCAGTCACTGATGAACTGTTTCTCCCAGGCCTGCAGAGACTTCAGGTTGACCATCAGCCTGAAAAAGACAAACGTAGTGGGACAAGCTACCGAAACACCACCAGCAATCACTATTGACGACTATGAGCTCAGTGTGGCCCATCAGTTCATCCATGATTGACAACCTCTCCTTAGATGCAGAAATTGACAAGAGAATCGGGAAGGCAGCAACAACATGTGTGCGCCTCACAAAACGTCTGTAGACCAATCCCAAGCTGTCAGTGAAGACCAAGATGGCAGTGTACAATGGCAGTGTACAATGCCTGTGTTATCAGCACACTGCTATATGGCAGTGAGGCTTGGACCACGTACACCAGGCCAGAAAGGCATTTGAACACCTTTCACATGACAAGCATCCGCCGCATCCTGTGAATAGCGTTGCGAGATAAAGTGCTCAACACTGAGGTCCTGTCTCGAGCAGGTTTGCCCAACATGTTCACACTACTCGGACAACATATATTCCATTGGTTGGGCCACGTCCATCGCATGCCAGATGGCTGCATCCCCAAAGAATTCTTGTATGGAGAGCTGGCCGCTGAAAGGAGACCCACCAGGTGGCCACAGCTGCAGTGCCGTGAAAGCTGTGAATATCAACCTGGGAGAGCCTGGCAGCCATATGATCTGAATGGAGAGGAACCCTGACCAAACACCTCAAGTCAGCTGACACAAGTTGCTATGGAAAGGCATGCCTTCAGAAAGCAAAGTGACAGCTCCAAATGACCAGAGACAGAACACACATGTGACCTCTGCAATGGAGATTGTAGAGGCTGATGCGAGAGTGGCAGTCACAGATGTCAATGCTCCAGCCAAGCAGGCAACTAGGATGCTACCCATGGTTAACTGACCGACAGAGGCGTACACTGGTTCTTACAATAGTAGAACTTTAAAATATGAATAAACAGGTTACTTGTTTTTTTTAAAAAAAAGATAACTATGTATAATTATCTAATTTTCAAGAAATCTTTACTGCTGCTTTCCTCTACCTAGCATGTTGACATGAAAATATACAACAAAAACTGCAAATATTTGTCTTTTGTTGTCTTAAAATATTGCAAAAACAATGCAACTTGAATTCCCAGTCTTACAACTTAAGTGTGTCCTTTTAATTCTATTATGACACTTTGCAACTGATAACTTCATTGGCATGAATGAATATGCTAGTTGCATTAAAAGAAAAAGAAAAAGAAAGAAAGAAAAAGAAAAAGAAAGAAAGAAAAAGAAAAAGAAAGAAAAAGAAAAAGAAAGAAAGAAAAAGAAAAAGAAAGAAAAAGAGAAAGAAAGAAAAGAGAAAGAAAGAAAAGAGAAAGAAAGAAAAGAAAAGAAAGAAAAGAAAAGAAAAAAAGAAAAGAAAGACAAAAGAAAGAAAGAAAGAAAGAAAGAAAGAAAGAAAAGAAAAAGAAAGAAGAAAAGAAAGAAGAAAAGAAAGAAGAAAAGAAAAAGAAAGACAAAAAAGAAAGAAGAAAAGAAAGACAAAAGAAAGAAAGAAAAGAAAAAGAAAGAAAAGAAAGAAAGAAAGAAAAGAAAAAGAAAGACAAAAGAAAGAAGAAAAAAGAAAGAAAGAAAAGAAAGAAAGAAAAGAAAAGAAAGACAAAAGAAAGAAAGAAAAGAAAGAAAGAAAAGAAAAAAAGAAAAGAAAGAAAGAAAAGAAAAAAAGAAAAAAAAAAGAAAGAAAAGAAAGAAAGAAAGAAAGAAAGAAAGAAAAGAAAAAGAAAGAAAGAAAAAAGAAAGAAAAAAAGAAAGAAAATTTTGTCTTTAAGAAAAAGAAAGAAAGAAAAGAAAGAAAGAAAAGAAAGAAAGAAAAAATCTAGAAAGAAAAGAAAGAAAGAAAAGAAAGAAAGAAAAAAGAAAAATCTAAGAAAGAAAGAAAATATCTAGAAAAAAAGAAAGAAAGAAAAAAAAAGAAAGAAAAAGAAAGAAAGAAAAAGAAAGAAAGAAAAAGAAAGAAAGAAAGAAAAAGAAAGAAAGAAAGAAAAAGGAAAACATTTTTATAGTCAAGATTAACATTTATTATGTGAACAGGTAATCAAAATGTTTGTAATAGGAAAATGATGATATCTTGATTGACACCCCTATTGTTATACTATTGACCTTTGAACTGTAAGCTAAAGATTTAATAAAATTTAATTAAAACTTCTGGCTCAGACTCATGGCAACTTACAGATGCTCCACAGAAAAAATTTCTCTCTCACACACTATAATATGCAATATTCTTGTCTTGTGCATAAAAGATATTTAAGATACAAATATATTTTACCTCTTAATACAAACTGAAATTATAGCCATATGTTAAATAGTAATCCTTCTAAAGCAGAAACCTCAGTGGGTAAAACAATTCATCACCAATCAGGTTGTTATTGTTGGAAGATATTTCATTTGTGATTACACTGTAACAATTACATATATGATTTAAGTACTGATGCAAACAAGCAGTAACCCAGAAATTTATTCAGTAATAAAACATGAAACTGCTTAAGACATCCCCTCAACCCAATCTTAAAAAATTAAATGGGATATTATTTCTACTGTAATTTAAGAAACAGGAATAAAAGAAACTGTCCTAGTTGTTTTGCCTAAATACTCAGTTAGCTGAAATCTCAAGAGAAAAAATAGAAAGACAAAAAATGCTATTCTTTTTGTTTTTGTAAAGAAAAAATCATCTACAAAACAAAAATGAAGATCAATAATTATATGGTTGTTAATGGAGACAAAATAAAACAGACTGAAATTAACAGTACACAACAATTACAAAGAAAAAAGAAAAATACAAGTTTGAATTTTGTTATATACAGACATAAATAGTTAAATATTTTTTTTATGATATTATTCAAAATGTCACATCACTGATATAATAAAGTAATATAGAAAATTTATACCTCTACTCTTGCAGAAACAAATTTTCATTCTTTTGATAGCAGGAATTTATTGGTTAATATTGGCCCAGTTTATACAAAAATGCACAAAGACAATTTTTAAAAACCTAATCACATATTTAGAGTATTTAGTGAGAATAATACCTTTATCCAAAGCATATTAACAAACAACATTGATTAATAGGTATTTGGCATGCAAATGAATTTTTAATATTTTGTTTTTTTACTCTATACTAGTAAATGTTTATTCATTTAAAATATCAATAAAGAACAATAAAATGATATTTGGTATAATTTGTTAAAGTATATATTTCACATTGATTTTGGATTGGGTGAACTGAACCTGATAAAATATACTGATATATTTTATTGATTTCTACTATGTTACAAAGTAGAAATTTAAAATTAATTTCTTTATATAATTATTGATTCAATACATTTTCATAAGCTTTTAATGATTCTCTACATATTTTCTTACCTGGCTTGAGTACATACCACAAAATCTCCAACATTTTGAACAAAATATTTTTCCATGAAAACTAGACCAGTCAACTTCTAATTCTGTTAAAAGGAATATGTACTCAAATAAGGTTTCAGAAGTAATTTGAGGAAAATCTCATATTTCATTTAGAGAAAGATAGATCTAAAAGGAATTATACCCTTCATGTTTTTTGGTGAAAATTATTGGGGACTGTTTCATGAATGAAATAGTTATGCTTTTCAAAACAGTGCCAGAGCCAAGTTCTTAAACAGAAGTTTGAGTGCTGATTTTCTAGGCAGGCATAGCACCATCTTCCTATCTTGCCCACACTTAGCCTTGTACCATTTTAAACATAGTTTAGTAAATATTAAAAAAAAAAAAAAAAAATTACTTTCTGGAGACAATAAAAGTGTATTGATAAATAAGATTAACAAGAAAGCTTTTGGTGTGTGTGAGTGGGAGGGGTAATTCCACATTTGGATAGTTACACTTCAACAGAGAAAAGAAAAACAAAAAATAAAGCTTATTGACATTGATAACTTGGCATAATCAGAAAGATATGTTAAATAGGAAATCAGGGAAAATACGTCAAATTCATCAAAATAAAAGTGACAAATGTCAACAAACTCATCAAGGAGAACAAAATTTTCAAATGTTTATAAACATTAAAATTCAATCAGGTTTAAAGATTGTGGTAGGCATTAATTTCCTAGAATATTAAATATTGGAAGAGTGCAATCAGAATACTACAAAAGGTGAAATTGAAATGTCAAAGCAAACAAAAATTCACTTACTATACTTATGTCCATGGTTATCACTTGCCATTCCAATATATTTGTCTTTTGTCTTCTTGGCCTTTTTTCTTTCTTCTCTCAGCTTGTCATCATCTTGGATAAAGTCAATCAGTTCCTTGCATTTTTGTCGCACTGCAAAAGGAAAAATATAACAAAAGAAAATTATGAGTAATTATCAATATCTACATATGAGAAATGCAAATATTAAGTGAAATATTGATAGAAATTCAGATAATTTTGTCAATAAGACATTTTGCCAAATTTCAATGATGAGAAAATGACAGCTACAAGTGCAAATATTAAATTTTTCTCCTATAATTGTGAATAAGTCAATATCTACCTATACATCTTAGATCTTGCTCAGCTTAGTTATCTCAATTAAGAAACAACCATAAAGTTGTGTATTAAGAAAAATCAAATTTTAAAAAATAAATTTTAGTTAAGACCAATCTGGTCTTTTGTGATCTTTATAAATAAACCATTGTTTTGCTGATTGCTTTTATAATCGGTCAGTTATTCAAATATCATTTTTTACCCTGAAAGTGATAACCTCAGCATTTAGATCACAGCTAAACAGAAGGCAATAAATAGTAAGCAATGTTGACATTTTTAAAAGTGTATTTTGAAAATCTATCAAGTCTAAAAAGTTTTATTTCTGAAATGTTATTTTAAATTTTATTTTATAAAAACAGGTTACTAGATTTGTTTAATAATAGATTCATTTGTTTATTTTTTTTTAGTTTATTTGATGATCTCATATAAAAAATGGTGGCAAATGTTGAATGAAGATTTGTGGGAGAAAAAAAACAAACAAAAAAAAAAAAAACAAAAAACAGTTGTCATTTTAGAATATTAATATTTAATAGCATGCACCTATAAAAGCAGTCCTAGGGTAAAATTACATGAAAACCGATTTGAAACTGATCAACCATAATAATAAATGACAAAAAGAAAGCTAAAACAATTGACAAAAAGCACCCCTTCTCCCGAAAAAAAGTTTATTTATTCAATGTAATATAAAAAGGTAGAATTTATTAAACAAATAGATCAAATCTTTCAACTACTAATAACTTATTACAGTGATGCAGTAAATTCTGGTTATAGGTGCATAGAGATCAAGTGAAGAAAAAATAATCATGTTTTTATTTAGGTATCGATTGTATTTGAACCTAGTAGATGTAGGTTTCCACATTTATTAATTCCTCTTTCAAGTAAAATTAATTGGTTTGTTCTGAAACTGCTAACATTAAATTCTAGCAGTTATCTTTTTATTTCAGAAGTGTTATATAATTATATATCACTTCAATAATTTTTTTAAATTATTTGTGCTGCCTGGAGAAAAAAAAAAAAAAAGGATTAATAACCCTGCAAAATGAGACAAATATAAAAACACTAGAGAAGTATCAATTTTTTTTAAAAAGCCCCCTTTCAATAAATCAAATCATATAAAATGCCAACAATTCTTTGGGTGACAAATTTCCAGCTAAATACAGTATTATACAAGCAGCTAAGAGAGAAACTTGTTCCAATAAGCTCATAAATGCTACAAACTTTATAAACCTTCTATATCAAACAATACTACTAGTCTTACTTGATTATAATTTTTATAGGATTAAGTGAGATCAGTTTGGAATAAACAAAACAAATCCTATTTACAAAAACAAAAGATATTATCCAATTGATAAATACAAATGAAATCTAATGTCACAAAGTGTTGACAATGTCAAAATTTTCATGGTAAAGGTATTTTTAGTAATTTTATTGTTAATTGATGATGACCAATCATTTAAAATTGGTAGTTATTACTAATCACAGGTAGGATTCTAAGAATACCTATCAAATAAAATTTGAGATTAAAAAAAAATGGTATTTGAGGATTAATAAACCAGTGATAATATTGATGATTAACTCATTTACTTAAAAAAAAAAAAAAAATTAAAAAAAAGATAATCATCAAGGATTTTTAACAATTATTAGTTAAAAATATTTTCTTCAAACTACATCTTAGAAATATTAAGTACTTTGAAGAGATAATACAACAAAAGAATAACACTAATATTGATTTAAACTTTATGTATTTTCTATTACAAACAAAAGGTTGTTAGGCAAGAGCATAGCACAAGAGTAAAAAAAAAAAAAATGAAGCATTTAGCAAAATTCCTTTTTTGTATTAACACAAATTATTTTTAAGATACAAATATCTGAACAAATTCCAATAAAATTCCTTTGATAGAAATATCAAAGTTCAAATATATTATGAACAAGGTACATGATTATTACAAAACTGTTGTTCTTTGTGATATCAAATTTAATGAAATGTATAAGTAAGGAATGTGAAGTGAATGTAGAAAAGTAATGTCATTATATATAGTCATACATATTCAATGAAAGGTGGTTTCTAATGGGAGTGTTTCAAAGTGACTTATCTCTTTGAAGAAAACAAAAAGCAGTGTGTTCCAGTTCAATGGTTGTTTATATAGTCCTTGTATAGATGTTAGAAAGCAACTTATTTTGTACAATATTATAAAAAGCATTTTTTAATATTTTTTTTAATAGTAGAATGCATAAAATAATTATGCAATCTATATAATTAAAATCTGACAAGAACTTGTCAGGTTTGCTACACAAGCTCTACATCTTTGAAATCACTGGAAGGGCTTTCTCAATTATAAAATCCTTCCTAACAGGTAGATCCTTGAAGGTAGTTATTAATGTCCAGTCCTCCGAGGCCCATGCGGTCAACACAAGCATTCCCCAGGCATCACTTCTCGAACCAACCCACTTTCTGATTTATATAAATGATCTGCCTAAGAATATACTAAGATGATTTATAAACAACTTTGCTGATGATACTACAATATACATGTACAACTCTAAAACTCTTGATGAGTCTAGCATAAACTTCCCAGTGGCTGGTTACACTCAATGCTCAAAAAAAAAAAAAAAAAAACAATCTACATTCCATCTCTGTCAATCAGACTCCAAACTACTGCCAGTTACAATGAATGGATGTCCTCTTGAGAAGAGGTCATGCCTTGAGAGAATATTGGGCCTCAAACTCACACCTGACCTAAAGTGTAACTCATATACGATCCATCACTAAAGATGCAGGTAAAATGATCAGCTCTGTACTGCTTCAGTAAGTACCTGGCTCTTTATGCTATCCTCTACCTTTATAAGAGCCAGATCAGGCTTAAAATGGAGTACTGTTGCCACACTTTCCAGCCTTGATAGAGTTCAAAAGTATCTCCAAGTCCTTGTGGGTGACAAATTATTTTTCACCCTCAAACTTCTCTCTCACAAGCAGGATGTAGCAAGCCTCTCACTGCTGTATCACTACTTCCATAGAAAGTGCTCAGACAAACTACATTCCTTGGTTCCATCAGGTCTAACCTTCACAACTAGGACCTGCCATGCCACTTACATTGTAGCAAACCACCAACATTCCCTCCACATTCCATCATCGAGAAGCAAGTTTCACTCAAACGACTTTTTCCTGCAAACCACTGCTCTGTGGAACAGACTACCAAGAGGATGTTTCCCTGATCACTACAATCTTAACCATTAATATCACCCTCTACCTCAAGTGGACCCTGAGCATTGTACAGGGTGAATCTTACTGTAAAAAAAAAAATTAATTATAAACAATGTAAAAATTTGAAAGTCTTGGTTCATGGTTAAAAACAAATTGTATCATTGTAACTAAAATTACTGGTTGCAATAACCATCAAGAACTTTATTATTTCTCATTGATCTTTGAAATTTTGTTAAAACATTTGGCAATCTTTGAACAAAGTTTGAATGATGAAAGTTATACAAGAAATTGGTTAATGATAAATGTTACATTATATTTGTTCACTAAAATCTGGCAACATTACAATTGTTTAGTTTTCATAACCAGCTAAAAACATGACTTTTTATATGGCAATTAATTTAAAAAACTAAGTCATTACAGGTTTAGTTCAATACAAGACTGTTCCCATAACAAATGTCAGATTTGTAAAGTCTTTTGCAAAGAATCTCAAAATGGGGAGAAGTGATTTCAAAAGGTTTATTATACAATATAGCACTAATAAAAATGCAGTGGTAATTTAAGTGAACCTTTTATAGATTGCTATGCATATTTAGGGAATGTTTATTAATTGATATATGAATGGCAAAAAACAGGTCAAAGAATTGGTTCATTTTCATGAATATTAGATTTGTCTAGTAAAAAAATTCTTGGTGAGAAAGCTAGCATTTAAAATTTCAAAACAAAGCCAATTTATACTTGGTACTTATTTTTTCAAGAGCAGAATTTTCTACAGTCAATAAGACAGAACAAAGTCAAATTTGAAAATTTCATTAAAAAGTAAAAAAAAAAAAATGTTAATTTATTAATTGTTCATCATAAATCAAGTAGAATATAAACTTACCATTTAATCCCTGATCTTTTCCAGCTTCATCGGTGTAGGTATATGTTTCTAGGCTGCGTAGATCATATAGATGCTCTCTTGAACTTGTCACAACCCTTTCAGACCCATTTCTAACCAAATATGACAGCAATAGTAAAGACTAGAAAAAAAAAAGCAAAAAAAAGCATTAAGATATACATAAAATAATTGATATTCTGAACTGGTAGTCTGATCAGACAGAGAATGTCTTAAGATATGATCTTGCATTGCACACGGATACAATTTATTAACTATCTAAAAATATTTCTGCAACAGATGGAGCATGACAAACCACTTAGTTTTTTAAATGGGTACAAGTGAAAACAAAATTTATAGCACAACACTGGAAAAATATCTTCTACCTTATAAACTCTGCGCCAATTTTTCTTGTTGTCATGTAACATCCTTTTCCACAACATCCCCATGACTTCAGGAAAGTGCTCATATGTGAAAGTGTATTGGGCAATCTCACCCATCAAGGATCCATGAGGACCCCATGCATCATCATTTGTCGCCTCGCGTACCTTAGCCTCCACTTCAGAATAGTTCATCACCACATTGGTGCTGCAAGAAACAAATTACACATTCAGAAATTCGAATTGAAAGTTTTTTTTTTTTACAAATTCACATATATAAAATAAAATTTCATAGTTAGAAAGAAAAAAATGAGAGCCAAAACTTTGTGCTAATGAAACATTTAATACCAATATTTCTAAATATTTTCAATTAGATAATATATGTTCCTTTTGTGAATACAAAACAAAAAAAGAATTCAGATAGAAATAGAAATCTTACAATGAAAATGAAAAAAAAAAAAAAAAGAAAAAAAAAGACTATCTTGATTAATCCATCATAAAAGGACACTCAGCCAATATTCTCAGGTTCATTTTTTTTCTGTCTAATTCTAAAACAAGTTTTCAGTTTCGTTTTCCATAAAACACTAAGCCTTATTAATACACAGGCAATGCTATAATACATTAGATACTAAGTAACCAAAAGGGATAGAGAGACATACTCACACAAGTTGCATATACAACAATATGGCCATATGCCTATAGTGTCCAGTTTACTTAATTCTGATTATGTGTAGATTTTTTTTTTTTTTTTTTAAATCACTTTGGAGTGGGATATTTATTACTTGTATTGACAAAACAAATTGTCTTAAATCATTAATCATTTCACTACCAAAGTAAAAAGACCTGGGAGGGAAAGAAGTTTCAAGTGAGATCACATCAGCCAAGTGGTTAAATAGGATTTCACAATCTAACACATACACCAATCCAAATAGATTACATGACTTAATTAAATGCTATCAATGAAACTGATTTTGAGTTTCTGATTAAATTCAAAAACATAATTTAGGCACTCATGATAAATGTAATTAAAACATTAAATGGAAAATGTCACCTTAATTAGTAAAATAATAGTGAAGAAAAAGAAAAAATATACTTTGCATTTCTTTACAGATATTTTTACCCATTACAAGTATCTTTATTTTTAGATCAAGTACTATCCACTATTTATTAAATTTGACTGGAAACTTATTCCCACTTAGTATTATTTGCTGATGCAGACTGTCAGCTCAGGCTTCAAGAAAAGGCAAATAAAAAATTAACGTGAAAGACAATTACTAGTTAAGATTAAAACTCAATTATTTTTTACCCCTAATTTGGAAAATAATCCAAAAAAGATATTATTTGGTAAATAAGTTTTCACTTGAATGCCCAAGAGGTTGAAGGTGATGGGGAGTAAGCTCTAAAAAGATGCATCAGCTGTTGAAACTAAATTATATAAATTTCAGACAAGACTACTGTTATAACATGCTTTGTAATGGTTATAATATAAGTAATGCTCTGGCAACTTGTGACGCCTGTATTACTTAGTCTGAAGACTGACTCCAAATGGCTTCTCTTCTTTACCTCTGACCTTTATTTATAGTTATTGACTAGTTCATTTAGTCACCAGGAGTGTACCATTTACTCCACAACATCCTCTTCATTTGTGATTAATACTTTTTATAAATGTTTTATTAGTATTAGATTTCCTCCCTCCTCTTTCTGGAGAGTTTGCCAACATACTTGACTTTGTAGTGTTTCCATCTTGGATCCACTTTCAGTTCTTCAGTACACTTTCTTTTTCTGGAACTTGGCCTTGTAGGTTCCATGACTTGTGGTGCTGGCACATTGAAAACATCATATAGCATTTTTGTCATTTCTTCTAATGTTTCATTGATTAATCTTTTTTTCAGCAGATTATAGAGCCTTTTATGTTCAAATATTTTCCCTTTTACCATGTAAATCAACTTCCTGATTCTTGTTGATATTATGCAGTTTTCCCAGGTTTGTCATCCATATATGCTCTAAAGAACACAATATTGCCAATCTTGAAACTTTTGGTGTTGTTTTTGTGATCTGTTCATGCTTTTTGACTTGGTAATAACTTATTGAACACTGATTTTATTTTTCTAACAAACATGAATTCTGATGGTTTATTGAGGTTAGGTGTTACATGGTAAATCCTCAGAAAATTTTGAAGTGCTTTCTCATTTCTCAAAACTTGCTTTCTTCAATGATCTTTTGAACATTCCCACAAACAGTTCCACTTGTCTGTTCAACCTTAAGTGATATGGTTGGGTTGTAATATGTTCAATGGAAGATATTTTACAAAAGTCTTGGAATTCTTTAGGTGTGAATTGTGTTCTGTTATCTGGTATGCCATATCTTGCAAATAGTTCATGCAAGAAATTCACTGTCACTGAAGATGTTGAATTTTTGCACTTATAAATTTAGTGAAAATATCAACTACCACAAAATAATATGACCCATTGATAGGACCTGTAAAAACTATATGCAATCTTGACCATGGCGTGTCTGTCTTTGGTCAAGGTTCTATCTTTGTGATAGGTAGTTTTGATCCCAGAGCACAACCTCTGCAAGCTTTCACTATTTTTTCAATATTTTGGTCCATTCTAGTCCAATATATGAAACTTCTCAGAAATTTAATTCTTGAAATACCAGAATATCTGCTATGAAAATCCTTCAATATTCACTTCTGTAAAACACTAGGTATTACAACCCTTTGCCTGAACATTACTACATTGTTGCACAGCAAGCAAGCATTTAAGTCTGGATTTTATTCTTTGTTACTTTTTTTTTTTTTAATTGGTTCTCCCTCCCCACACACACAATACAAGGTGTGATTTTCTGCTCTTTATTTTATTTCTTCCAAGTTAACTGGTAACTCTTGTTCTAAGTTGACCAAAATTTTTATTATTTTTAGTGGTGCAATGACTATGTTCTCAAATGGTTCCATTTTTTTTTTTTTTTTTTTTTAGACAGTTTGTACTCTATAAAATTGTAGTTTGATAAGATATACCCCAGCATTGTAGTCTAGCTGTATGCATAGGTATTCCTTTCTTTGAATCATATACTGTTAACACAGGACGGTGGTCTGTTTGCAACTTAAAATTTCTTCCATGAATAAATTTATGAAATCTCTTCAAGGCAAATATAATTGCTAGAGCCTCTTTTTCTATCTGGCCACAATTTTTCTCTGCTGGTAGAAGAGAGTGTGAAACATGAGCAAAGGCCTTCATTTTACCACCATCATGTTTGTGTAAAATCACCACTCCAATGCAGTACTCACTAGCATCTGATGCCACTACAATTTCTGCTTTTGGATCATAGTGTGCAAATGATAAATCTGACACAAATCTTTTTTATCTTGTTAAATGCATTTTGACAGTTATCATTCCAGTTCCAATTTACTCCTCTCAAATTATGCTTATTGTGTACATATATTTGATAGTAATTAGCCAGTCCCAGAAAAGCTTGTAATGTAGTCAGTTTGTTGGTAAAGGCATATTTTTAATTGCACTTGCCCCCGATGGATCTGATTAATCATTTTTATCAATAATTTGACTAAGGTATTTAATTTTCAGCAAAAACAATTTGCATTTTTCTTCACTGAGCTTGAATCTGTACTCTTAGTTTTTCCAAAATTGTTTCCACATGCCCAACATGTTCTTTAGATACACTTTTGATTAAAATGTCATCTAGATACACTGCTGTGAAATCACAATCTGCAAGCATAGTAGCCATAGCTTTTTGAAAAATAACTGGTACCACCTTTATACCAAAAGAAAGTCAGTTAAACTTATATAAGCTTCTGTGCATATCTATGGTCATTAATTCTGAACATTCATTTTCAATTTGAATTTGTAAATATGCTTGAGAAAGATCCAGCTTTGAATTTATTCTGCTGTTTAACTTCAAAAAAATTGCCTCTGGACTTGGTAATGAGTAGTTATATATTTCTAAACAACTGTTTAATCCTATTGAGAAATCTGCATAAACATGATTTTTTTTTTTTTTTTTTTTTTCATACACTGCTGATGCAGCCCATTTTGAATGGTTAATTTTTTCTATTATACCAACTATTTCAAGTCTGTCCAACTCTTTGTTGACTTGTTCTAATGCTATGAATGGTACGCTCCTCTTAAGCTTAAATACTGGCATCAAACCTTTTTTTTTTTTACTTGAAAATCCACCTTGAATTTTGAATCCCAACCCAATTCATTTGACAGAACATCTGGAAAACATTTTTTTAATTCTTCATTAAGATCTTCGCACTGACTTTTTAAATTGGTTGCTTGTCCACTTATGTTTTTACAATGTTTATTAGCAAAACCCAAAAGGTGAAATAATTCTATCCAGTCAGTACTGAATAAATTTGTATCATTTTTTTTTTAATAAATAAGCTTTAGTGGTTTTTTATTTTTTTTTATTACATGTTTATTATATAATGAGACATTACAAGTCATTTCTAAAAAAAAAAAATTTCTACCAGAAACAGAAATTGTGACTTTGGAAGTCCTTTTTAATAAAGGCTTTCCAATTTCCTTTCATGTGAATTCCCTGATTATTGAATACCAAAATACCAGTGTCCCATAGTAAATTTCCTTTTGTTTTCTGCGACTTTTTCCCATCTCTTCCTGTGAGAATTTTTCTTGGTTTGGTTTTGCAGTGTGTGTGACTTTATATGTCTTCATTTACCACCCTTGTAAAATTCTGCATTTCTTAATGGACAATCATTTGCAAAATGTAATTTGTCACATCTGAAGCAAGGATTTATTCTCCTTTTTGTGCATTTGTCCTTTGCTTATATCAATGTACATACTTTTTTTCCAAATTTTTTCAGCATTATGTCTCAGACTTAGAAATGCCTGGCAATCATCCACAATTTCTTGCATTATAATATTACCATTTTGTTCAATTTTTGTTAAAATTTTTGCTTGTATCAGCATATTTTTTTTAAACCTTGAATGAAAATTAACCATTTGAACATATCTGGAGTCATTTCCTTTATTCTAAACTTTTCACATTCTTTGTTGACAATACCAACATACATGACAAAATTTGTCTTTTTTTTTGGTTATATTCATGCACTCCTAACAATCATTAAACAGAGAGCTCTTGTCACTAAAGATTTTCATCAGAATGTGTACCATTTCTTCAAACCCAATTTCACCTGGTTTTTTGGTAATATGTAT